GTTTTTTGGGTAAGTTTTCAATATAACCACATGTATTTTAGGCAAGATGGATAAATGAGAACTTAACATCTAAATTAGCTCCTTTTCATCTCAAAACTACAAGAAATGCTTCAAATAAAGTAAAAGAATGACAAAAGCAGAAAAAAGGAAGAAACTTCAGAAGGAAAATCCCATGGAAAAACTATCAGAGAAAGTGAAGAAATGAGTAAGGGAGCTCAAAATATACAGTGAAGAAATACCATGGCATAGAAGAATGAAAGGAGAAGTTACTGGAAGTTCTGTAATTATTGCAGTTAGCACCCCAGAAAAAGAGAATGGAACAAGGAGGACATGGACAAACAAACAAGCATTTGTTAAGCTTGTTTACTATGCACCAATCAATGTGTTAAGTGCTTTATTTCATTTAATCCTCATAACAACCCGAGGAGGCAGGTACTATAATTATCCTCATTTTACAGTTGAGGAAACTGAGATAAACAGATTAAGTAAGTAACTTGTCCAGGCTTATACAGCTAGTTAGTACCTGAGGCAGGATTTAATTTCAGATCTGTGCAACATTAGCAAATGGGGGAGTGGGAAAGGCCTCCTGTAGTGGCTGGAGTTTTAACTGTTTCAAAGGAAGTCAGGGAAACTAAGAAGCAGAGATAAAGGGGCACACTATTCTAAGGTTGGGGAGCACCTAGTGCAAAGGCACAGAAATGGGGGACAGAGTGTCATGTGCATGGACCAGCAAGCAGGCCACCCTATCTGGATCATAGAGTGCATGCGAAAGAAGACTAAGAAGGTAGGAACCCATCACATTGTGAAGAGTTTTAAATACCAAAGAGAAGGTGTTGGGGAGCCATTGGAGCTCTTTAAGTGCAAGGGTGACATCGAGAGGTATACTGTTGAAAAATCACCTTAGTGACTGAGTGGAGGATGGGGAGTAGGGAGAGACTTGAGGTGGGGAAACTGATTAGATAGCCATTTCAGTAGTCCAAGCAAGATGTGATAAAGGCCTGAACCAGAACTGTATGAGTGGAGAAAAGGAGATGTATGCAGAACTTGTGAAGATAGAAACAAGATTTGGCAATGGACCGAACCTGTGGGATGAGTTAGAAGAAGTTGAGGATGACATTGAGGTTTGTCTTCAAACCTTGGGTGACTGCAAGTTAGTAGTGCCCTTGACTACTAGGGAAGTTTTGAAGAGGGGCATGTTTAAAGGGAAAGATGAATTCCATTTTGGACATATTGATCTCCAAGTGCCCTCTGAGATAGGCTTTTTTTGTTTTGTTTTGTTTGTTTTTTTGCTAGGCAATGGGGTTAAGTGACTTGCCCAGGGTCACACAGCTAGTAAGTGTTATGTGTCTGAGGCCAGATTTGAGCTCAGGTCCTCCTGAATCCAGGGCCGGTGCTCTACCCACTGTGCCACCTAGCTGCCCCTTGAGATAGGCTTTTTGAGATGTTCAGAAGAGGCCATTGATGATGCTTGATAGAAGTTCAGAAGGCAGAATTAGGATAGATGACCAATCTCCAGAATCATCTTCATAGAGATAATAATTGTATCCATGGGAGCTCATGAGATTGCCAAGTGAGAATAGTATGGAGCAAAAAGAAAAGGAACCCAGAAGAGAGACTTTGGGGGCACTTACTGTTAATCAGGGTGTGACATGGCTGAAGAACTGCCATAGGAGATTGGGAAAGAGTGTTTGAACAGCTAGAACTAGGAGAGATCAGTGTAATGAAAACTTAGAGAAAAGAACTTACCCAGGAGATCTGTGAGATTAGCCTTAGTACTCACCTTCTGTCCCTTTGATCGGAGTGTGGAACAAAAAACTCTTCCTAAAACCTCCATTTAAACAGACCTCCCAGACCAGCCATCTCTTCATTTCCCACAGGCTTTGGACTGGACTTTATCATGCTTCCTTTTGCAAGTTGTCTTCCCCTGTTAGATTTTAAGTTCCTTGAGGACGGATGGGCTGTATTTCTTTTTCCTGTTTGTATTCCCGTGGCTTAGCACAGTGCCTGGCACATAGAAGTGCTTAATAAATGTTTATTGACCCAACAGGTGATCAGTAGTCTCAAATGCTTCAGATAGGTTAAGAATGAGAATGAGAATTGAGGCCTTTACATTTGGCAGTTATAAGAGAGAATTGGTAAATTTGGAGAAGGACTTTTAATCTGAATCATGATGTAAGTCAGGTTGCAAAGACCTACCTTAGAAATCTCCAAGAACTGTTGAATGGCTCCTTGTGAGTAAGTCCTTTCAGGTGTGGGTTGGACTTATCATGACTGTTGGCATTTCTTCCAGCTCTCAAATCCTGTGATTCTCTGATATTTGGAAGCTAAGCTGGTTACACTATTGTGTACTATTTATTTAAAATGAGACCTGGAACCAACTCTCTGAAAAGGATATTTTGGAATTTCCCATTTTTCAGTTGCTTTTGGTTAAAGTTTCAGAAAGGAGCTTTTCAGATTTCAGAAATGAACAGCTGAGAACTTTGCTGTTATAATTATAAAGAAGAGTCTTCTCTTTGCATTTAAGATGTATTATATGTACCTTAGCAGTGTCTGGGATGCTTTCCCTCATCATCTTCACTTGTTTGACTCTTTAGCTCCCTTCAAGGCTCAGCTTACCAGCTGCTTTCTTCCAGAGACCTCATTTGATTTTCCCAGGAATTTTTATGTAGTCTGTATTTCCCTGTCTGGGAACATTTAACACATAAACTCCTTGAAAGAAGAAGCTATCTCTGTTTCATTTTCCTGTCTCTAGTGCTTATTAGTGCCCAGCACAGAGGCAGTTAACAATGCTTATTGCTTGACTACGGTATTTTTAGAAAATAGATATTAATGATGAGGAATGAAGGAATTTCCTGCCTCTTTTTTAAATAGTTAAAGAACATCCAATTTTACCATTTAAACTCGTCTATGAAGCTTAGAAATGGTTGACTATTAATTGACTGTTTGACATAGTCAACAGTTGACAGAGTTGAATTTGCTAAGAGCTAGCTTTATTTTTTATTATTTTTATTCTTTTTTTGGCTAGGCAATGGGGTTAAGTGACTTGCCCAGGGTCACACAGCTAGTGTCAAGTGTCTGAGGCCGGGTTTGAACTCAGGTCCTCCTGACTTCAGGGCCGGTGCTCTATCCACTGCGCTACCTAGCCGCCCCCGCTAGCTTTATTTTAAAAGAAATTTTAAAATTTGATTTATTTCATAGAATCTGTTCAAACACTGAGTAACAACCCTTAATCATTATATTGGTTGATGTGTTGACTGTTACAGGTAACAGTGTATTTTGGTGATGATGGGACATTAGTACCACAGTAGACTTAGATGGGAGTAGTTACAACTTTTAACCAACTTAAACTCAGACATAAATTATAACCCATTTCCTTATGCTTTCAGGTTTTCTTTCAGTAGTTCTTCTATTTAGAAGAAAATGGCTAAATTACTTCTAAGATTTGCTAGACACAAAGTCTCTAAAAAACCCTTGTGACCATAAACACTGCCTTTATATAGGATAGAAGGAAACTTTTCACTTTAACACTCAAATGCTACAATTATTTTCTAACATTTTCAGTGTATTTTAAAGCATTAAATGTTTTCTCCCTACCCCCTTTAGTTTTTTTTCCCCCTTCACTCTGTGTCTTCCTGTAAGAGTGTTCTCCATGTAGAAAAAGCATGATGGATTTTTGATAATTTTTGTGCCACTTTTTGACTTGTCAATAAAAAAGGGTATAACTTACTGGTTCAGAAGAAAAATGTAAATTTGCATCTCATAATTGTAAGCAAATTTTCTATGTTTCTTTAGTAAAGGTTTGTTATTCTTTTGATTATTTAAAAAAAATTGGTTGTCCATTTTAATTTCCTTCAGCTATGTAGTTTTCTTTCAGTACAGTCAAAGATTTTATGTGTATTGGTAAATATTTATGGCAGTGTCCACATTTACATCTTCTCCTCCAAATAAGTAAGGATATAGTAAATGTTCTGCTTCTAAGAATCTACCCAGAGTTTCTAAATCATTTTTCTACCTTTTTAAGTCCCTTACAATATAAAGCACATATAATATATAATTGCCTGTTTCCTACACAAACATCCTAACATGGACTTAGATTCATGGTCTACTCTTTTTTAAATCTAACATTTTTCAATATAAGGCTTCTAGATTCATTCCAATTTTTTAAACATGCATTTGAAATACATGTTTCATTATGTGCATTCTACTTTTGTCTTTAAGTTAAAATTTGAAGAGTATTTTAAAAAATCATACTGGGGATTTCACATTCCCTTAGAAATTACCATGCTTATTTTAAGGTTCCAGGCAATATCATTCTAGATACAGTTTTCAAAAATTTATTCCTCGACCTGAGAGAAGTCAGAGAGACAAATATATCCTATAAAATTACCTCGTTAGCATAAAAACAGTATAGATGAGAAATGTATTTTTCATCCCTATTGTTATTTAGTATCTTAATGGAATTTTTTCACTTCAGAATTGAAATTTAAAAATTTTCATTTTCTACAGAACCAAGTTAAAACTACATATAGTAATTCTTTGTGCATGATAAATTAGAAATGATTTTTCTACTTCCATGTTTTTGGCTAAGTGGTGAAAAATTGGTTCATTTCAAGTTTCACAAGTATGTTTCTTTCATTTTTTTTCTTGATTTACTTTATGGGTTTCCAAAAGTGTTAGTTTCTGCTTTTAACCAGTTACCTTTCATTTTCCCCCTCCTTCTTATTTTCCTGAACTACTTATCTAGGCTAGTTGTAGTAGTGATAACATGTAAAGAGTTATGAGAAGTGTTTTGATATGTTAAAGAAGATCTTGGTTTCATTGTGCCATTCTTAAACTTATATATTTCTGATATCCTTTTGCATGTCACTGAGTAGTCCTCAGATATGAAGATATAAATATGAAACTTGTATAGAAATGAATTATTCTTATATACAGTATATAATTTAATTCTGAGTAATGTTCATTTTAATTCATGTTTTTTCTTTCTTTTTTTTAAATAGATGATCCATAATTATATGGAACACTTAGAAAAAACAAAACTTCATCAGCTATCAGGGAGTGATCAACTAGAATCCACAACTCATAGTAGAATTAGGTAAGCTTTGTTATACATTTTGCCTTGAAAATGGGCAACCCCCTCCCCCCATTTATTTCTGTGTTGCTGTGTTCTTCAATCCTAGAACAACAGTCAGGCTGATTCAGAAAGTTCTGTTCTATGCTTGGAATGTTGTGGGAGAGAATAGAGTAGAAAAGAATGGAAGCAGCCTTGACTATTAAAAGGCTAAATCAGGAGATAGCCAGATGGGCAGCTTTGAGATATTTCTGTATGTTTAAAACAAATGATAAAAAATTTTGGTTTTAGGGGGTTTTTTGGTTTTTAATTATTCTCAGAGTTTGTGGGAGTTTGAAAATAACTTTCATTTCTCTCTATCATTATGTTTAGTCTAATTTTTGTTGTCAAGGTATGGGTTTGAAAGGGTTATTAGGTGGATGTCTGTTTGATGAGGAATTGTGAATAAATTATGTAAATCAGGAGGCTTTGTGACCAATGAGCTAAGCCAGGACAATTCGTGGAGGGGGAAAAACAGTTAATAAGCTGGCTGTCTCTCGAGGCTGCTGCACAGATGCTAAGAGCGGCAGCTCTATGGTTGTGAGGTGGGGAGAGTAGGGTGATGTCATTGATTGGGAGTCACTGCTGCTGCTGTTGCTGCTGCCGCCGCCGCCGCTGCCGCCGCCGCCGCCGCTGCAGAGCCCAGTGGAGAGCTGCTGATGGCATTGTTTTTGTGGCCGTGGCCGCTGAGTGACAAACTTGCACAGCAAAGATACCCCCGTGGCTCCTGTTCTGTAGCCTTCTCGCTCCTCTCAGCGGCGGGTCACCATGCCCGCGCAGCGCCATGAGTCCTGGATGCATGCTGCTATTTGTGTTTGGCTTCGTTGGCGGGGCGGTGGTCATTAATTCAGCTATCTTGGTGTCGCTCTCTGTTCTGCTTCTTGTGCACTTTTCTATTTCTACCGGTGTGCCAGCTCTGACGCAGAACCTGCCCAGGATACTCAGGTACTCACCTCCTCCTGCTGCTGCTCCTCTGCCACCCCTCCCCTCCCTCTGGGGCATCGTTCCTCCCTCTCACCCTTCCTTCCTACCTTCGTCCTTTCTCCACTGGTTCCTAGCTCTGGAGGTAGCGGCAGCGGCAATAACAGTAGCAGTAGCAGCAGGGCTCCCCTACCCCATCCCCCTTCCTGCTCGCTCGCTCTCTGCTGTATTCCTTAGCTTGCAGAATGAAACAATGGGGGATGACCCGAAGCTAGGCGCTCAGATTGTGGTTAAAGTGATTTTGGAGCTGGGACCTGGGGAGAGAAAGCTTTGTGTGGGCAACCAGAGGGCAGAAGAAATAATGTTCACTTTGGGCTTAAACGTGAGTACGAGGACAGCATGGTCTTGGAAACTGGCTTATGGCAAAGTGAATGAATAAGAACAGTTACGGAGCCCGGCAACCCAAGTTTATCCTGTCTCTCATTAAGCACCTAAGCTTTTAGATACTAGATTTTGAAACTTACACACCAAGAATGGCGTGTATTTTGTAAGGATTGATGGGAATTCTTATATCATTGGGCTCATTGTTTCGTATTACAATTCATGGGAACCAGCAAATCAGTTCTTTAAAAAAAAAGCTTTTAAACCGAAAGGGTTTTGAATTTTTTTTTGTATAGTGAGCTCATTTTTTCCATTATTTAGGCATTAAAGCTGTGAAAGCTTTATAAAGCCTATTCACTATTGTTTTGTCAGATGTTATCCTTTATTCTTTTCTTTGTAGAGACTTGGGTGGCAAATGTCCATACTTGTTGGGGGTGGGGGGTGGTGCGGGAACCGCGTTTGTTAATCTCTTTACTTTGGCTGCTATTCATTGTATTAGTACAGAGTAAGAATCTCTGTCTACCTTTTAGCTATTTAAAAAGCAAAACCTCCAGTAAAGTTAAAAAAAATTAACTTCCCTTCCCTTGTTTTGCTGTGGACAACTTTAATTGTTAAATTTTGTGCTTTCAAACAAAAGAAAAGTTTACAAAAAGTATCCTAAGAGTGAACTTAATCCATTTAAAAACAAATAATAAGTACTAATTCAGTTAAGAGCACTTGTGATTATACATTCATAGTCTAAATTATTCAATAGCTGTCTTAAAGCCCAGAATTTATGTTTATATTATAAGTTTCGTGGTGGTGACAATTAGTTCTTTGTTTCAAATTGATGTTATTAAGATTTTATAGAACATATTGTTTATGAAACTAAAGACTTTTAGTCCATGAATAGAAACTCTTGTTTCATATTCTCCATATTTTAAAACCCCCTACTCAACCTCCATACTGTCTATATAAACTCTTAGAAAACATGCTGAATATTAATTAGATGAATTACTTTTGTATTTTAGTCTTTTTTTTTAAAGTAATTTAACATACTGTAGAGGAAGCCCACTTTTAAAATTTTAATTTAATTGAATAAAAATGTTACTGATCTGTGCTTGGTCCCCAGTAAAATTTTAGACTCATTAGACTTTTGAAGCAGTCCTGTTGTAATTCGTGTATATTAAGAACTGGGAGTAGCTGGCTGAACTATAGATACGAGAGTTGCTTGTTATCAATTTCACATCAGAATTTAACTTTATTATAGGATAGTCTCAATAAAAGCCTATGTTATTATTGGCCACATGGTAGGAGAAATAGCATTGTGCTAGGACTCAGAAGTTCTGGGTTTAAGTCTTAACTCTCACTGGCCATGTGACTGACAGTGGAGAAGCCATTTAACTCTTTACCTCACTTTCTTCATCTGTAAAATGCTATGAATGCTTGTATTTCTCAAATGATTGTCATGATGGACAAATGAGATAACAAGAAAATGCTTGGAAAACTAAAATGTTGCATAAGCATATAGTAGTAGTATAATTATTATTGTACAGAGAGAGATCTTTCTAATTATCTATATATTTGATTTTAAAATAAAAGTATTTCAAAACTAATTGCATTATTTATGAAATAAACTTTAGTTTCAGGAAGTTTCCATAATTTTCATATCTTGAAAGTGATTAAATTAGAATTGAATTTTTTTAATGTACTTAGATTTCAACTTTATGATTGAGTGAATTTTTATAAAGAAGCAGGTAATCTGGTTTATCTAATTACCTAGGTTTAAACTATCAGTTATTTTATGTACTTATAGTAAAAAAGCTACTATAAGAAATTGGTTGTTAGTGGTTTCTCTGAATTCTGTGCATTTAAATAATCATGAAGAATGTAAAAGATAAAATTTTTTAAAAAACTTACTGGAATTTTATTAGTTTTGACCTTTTAAAATGGAATTATTAAATTATTTCTGCATAATCTATGGAATCCTGACGGGAAATTATTTTACTTTAAAGAAGCGCATTAGGCCTCCAATTTAAGATGAAATTTTCTAAATAGCTTTATATAAATACATGAAAGTGAAACTAAATATATCTTTAAAAACTGGTGTTTCAGGTAAGGTACTTTATTAAATCTGATACTTTTTAAGCAGCTTTTCACTTGAATGTGTTGTATGTCGTCTTTCATCCTTTATGATTTCTTTAATTCTGAGGGAGCCATTTTGTTTCAAGGAAACCACAGTGTTTCAGATATGCACAATCTTTGGGCTTCGAGTTTTTATTCCAAAGTGTAGGACATTATAAAGAGAGGGTGAGTATTTAGTGATGTTGTTCTGATGGAGTTGTAGTAACAGAATGTGAATTATAATTCCCTCTTTGGCAGTCTGCTATTGTCACCAACCAGGTCTGTTTGCAGGTTTGATAACAGTGAAAAAGCTATGTATAACTTTTTAAAAATATATTTTATTTTTTGCCCCAGTTACATGTAAAAATAATTTTTGACTTTTAAAAAAATTTTGGGCATAATTCCAAATTGCTCTTCAGAATGTTTAAATCAGTTTACAATTTCCCCAACAGTGCTTTAGGGTCCCAGTTTTCCCACATCCCCACCAACACTTATTTTCCCTTTCTGATAGGTGTAAGCCAATCTGATAGGTGTAAGGTAATGATATCTCAGAATTGTTTTAGTTTGCATTTCTCTAATCAGTAGTGATTTAGAGCATTTTTTTCATGTGTCTAGAGATAGCTTTGGTTTCTTTTTCTGAAAACTGCCTGTTTATATCTTTTGACCATTTATCAATTGGGGAATGACTTTGTAGTCTTATAAATTTGACTCAGTGCTTAACATATTTGAAAAATGAGGTCTTTATCAGAGAAACTTGCTGTAAATTTTTTTCCACAATTATGATTACTGTGCATTTCCCTCCATCCTATTTTCCCCTTGTTTCTGTCTCTCTCTGCCCCTCTCCCTCTCTCCCTCCTATTACCCTGTCTCTCCTCAAAAGTGTTTTTGCTTCTGACCACCACCTCCCCCGATCTGCTCTCTCTTTTATCAGCACCCCCATTGTCTTATTCCCTTCTCCTCCTACTTACCTGTATGGTAAAATAGATTTCTATACGCAACGGAGTGTGTATGTTATTCCCTACTTGAGCAAGTTTTGTCTACCGCTTCCCCCATCTTCCCCTCCATTGTAAAAGCCCTTTCACACCTCTTTTAATGTGAGATAATTTACCCCATTCTGCCTTTCCCTTCCCCTCTTCTCACAGTGAATCTATCTTTCTCATGCCTTAATTTAATTTTTTTAGATATCATCCCATCATAGTCAACTCACACCCATGCTTTCTGTCTGTGTATACTCCTAGCTGTCCTAATAATGATAAAGATTGTTAGAAGTTAGAAGTTTATCTTCCCAGGTAGGAATATAAAGAATTTAGCTTCATTGAATCTTTTATGATTTCTCTTTCCTGTTTACCTTTTTAGGCTTCTCATGAGTCTTTTATTTGAAAGTTGGATTTTCTGTTCAGCTCTGATCTTTTCATCAGGAATGTTTGAAAGTTCTCTGTTTCATTAAATGTCAGTTTTTCCTCCTGATGGATTCAGTTTTGCAGGGTAGGGGATTCTTGGTTGTAATCCTAGCTCCTTTGCCCTCTGGAATATCATATTTCAAGCCCTTGGATCCTTTAATGTAGAAGCTTCTGACTCTT